TAAGTGTAACATAAAGATGATCAATTTCAATATAATAAACTAATGAGCCGATAATACTTTAACCATTATCTTTTTTTTTATATCCACAAAAAACGATAATTCTCAATTAAATGTGTTATTGTGAAATTTTAACGGTCATGTGTTATCTACTCTTTTGACATTTGTTTTTTATTTTTACTTTTTATTGAAAAAAAATTAAATATTCTTTAATAATTAATTCTTACAATTTAATAGCTAAGTTAATGTAAGTGTAACATAAGGATGACCAATTTCAATATAATAAGCCAATGAGCCGATAAAACTTTAACTATTATCTTTTTTTCTTTTTTTGATGTCCATAAAAAACTATAATTCTCAATTAATGTGTTATTGTGAACTTTTAACGGTTTCAAAAATATATATATTTATTTATTAAACACAACAATATACTATAAAAAACATATAAAATTTTATATAGGTAACTACTATTTTAAAACAAAAAGTCACAAAAATAAAATCACAAAATTTTTAATAAAAAGAATCGTTACATTAACCAAAAAAATAGTTTGAGAAAATTAGTTAGTGATTTTAAGAATTTTAATGTTGTTAGAATGCTAAAATTGTCAATCATCTCATAACCAATACTCTCGGAAGAAAACCTTACTCCACCACAAATTGTGAATAAAAAAAACATAATAATTCACCAATGAATCGTGTAAAAGATAAAATTCACTAATTAATTTTCTCACACAATTTCTTAGGTTAATGTAACGATTCTTTTTATTAAAAATTTTTGTGACTTTTTGTATTAACATAGTAGTTACTTATCTAAAGTTTTAAATATTTTTTTAATAATATATTGTTGTGTTTAATAAATAAATATATTTTTTTGAAACCGTTAAAAGTTTACAATAACACATTTAATTTGGAACTATAATTTTTGGTGGATATCAAAAAAATTAAAAAAGATAATGGTTAAAGTATTATTGGTTTCTCACACCATTATTTTGATTAATCTAGTGATTCTTTTTATTAAAGTATACGCTGTAATTTTTATTAATGATAAGTCTATTTCTTTTCACATATAATATTGTATATGTGTCTAGCAATTTGCTCCAAATGTTTAATCTTCTAATCTAGATAATAATTAGAGGCAATTACAAAAATGCCACTTTTTGTGTGCACATTTCCAAAAATACCATTTAGGGATGCCCATTTACAAAAATGCCACTAATTATATATTTATAAAGTCTATATCTTAAAATTCTAAACCCTAAAAAATGTTTTGACACTTAAAACCCCCAAAGTACTCAAAACTAAACCCT